GTTAATTTTAGGCAGTATCTAACAAGGTTTGTTCTAGTAGCTTAATAAAACAGAACTTTTCAATGAGAACTGAAAAATAATCTTTCAAAATCTAAACCTCTCATTAATTTTGCATTAATTATTATTTTTTAAATTAGGACCCTAGTCTGAGGCTGTGGAGGTTGACGTTTCATCTCTAAGAAGTTAAAGGTGATGCCAATGATGTGGTCTAGTTAAATTCTAAATTCAGTTAAATATTGGTTCGGTCAAATAAAAGATTCATTCCAGGTGGCACTGGTGGTATTTTGAGAGCTGTGCTCATTTTGCTCGAAGTTCATACCTCTGTGCTGCCAACCATAGAGACAAAGTGATTATTGCAACATCAGCTCAGCTTTTCTGAAAGGAAGTATAGATTTCCTTTCAATCAATTTGTATTAGTGTATGAATGCTCTATAATGAATTTTATGAAATTTTACTCCCTAGGAATATTTTAGCCTTAATCCATACATGATGATTTTATATTAAATTGTGAATCTGTAAAGTGTTCAATTATTGACATTTAGTAAGCAAAATATGACAAAGCAGTGCCAGCGAGGCCACTGGTCTGCATTGGGCAGGGGTTTCCTAATCCCCCACCTCCAAAACACAGAGGCTCGGTTCAAATATTTAAGAGCCAGTTGCCTTCTGATGGTCTGACCAACACGACTGATTTAAGAGACAAATCCAGGGACGCAGTGTAATCGGTAGGGCAGGATAGGAACCGATGTGTGAAGGGGGAGGTCGTTCCCACCTTGTAAGGGACAGTGAAGCTCTGAGGTCCCACGAGGCAGCGAGCTGCCTCTCTTGAGGGCTGGGGCCTGGAGGGCTCCTGAGCACCCCCGAGCGGGGGCTTCCCAACCCCACAGCCAGGGAGCCGGTGGTCAGTGCCATGTCCGTCACTAACTCGCCTCGCACCCCTACTCAAGCCGTGCTTGTCCTCTGTCCCCAGCCAGGCTGTGGCCGTGAGAAGTTGCCCATCCACACGTTTCATCGCAGACACGAGGCTCTGCGCCGCACTGGCTCTTCCTCTCCCTCCTCTTCTGCTCTGCTCACCGCCTATTGCCCAAGCCACAGAGGGCGTCTGGAGCACGTTAGCAGCTCATCATTTAATAACATTAGATTGCTGTCTGTGGTAGTCATCTCATGGCTGAGTAAGTCAGGCCTGGAGGGGAATGTTTACTGAAAAAACTGCTCAGTTGGTGAAGTTCCTGTCAAACCACACATCTCTCCGCGGGTCTGCGGCAGGGGTGACCGCTCGTTGCTCCTCTCTGTGTCTTGCATGCATTTGTCGATTGCAGAAGTACCTGCCGTCTGGCAAAGAGCTGTCTCTCATGGCGGGTTTACAGGACGAGTCTTGGACTAGTGGGAATCAAGCCACATTTGCCGCATGGAGGAGGCATCCTGACAGGCTGACCTGTGCACAGGTTGCTGAGCCTCGGTGATAGTCGGATGTGCACAAAGCAAGGTGAGCAAATAATATCTGGAAAGCCGAAGCATGCTCTGCCAGGAAAGAATACTTTACTAGCACAAAATATGCCTTTCATTAGGTTTGAGTGATAAGAACTACTTGATGAAATAAAATAAGGCTTTACAAACATTTAATATTTAAATAAGGACAGCAGGCAGTGGATTTTCACATTATCATTTGTGTCTGAGCCGAGTGGTGAGGTTTTTATAAACGACAGTCAAAATCCTGCTATGATGGTGCTGATAGGAGCGTAATTTTATCTGCCCCAAATATCCACCACAAGGAGCAAAATCAGAAGTTTATAAACAAACCCAAACTCACTACACTGTTTCTATGTCGGGGGCTGCTGGAGGATGAACACACTTTTCCTATTTCCTTGTTGGAGTAGGTGGAAGTGGCTGATGGTGCTCAGGGCATGGGCAGGGCCGGGGGTGGGTTAGGGAGGCTGCCAGGGTGTCCTGACTCACCCCACTGCATGTCTTGCAACCGGGCTTCCAGAGGAGCTTGGCTTTGAACCTGGCCAGTGGCTGACTGCCAGAGGGGCTCCCGGGAGCAGCAGAAGGGCACATGCAGGTACAGGGCAGGCAACCAGCTCAGTCACCACCTCCCTCCCATTCTTCTCCTCTGGGTTGAAGCCATGTCCCTCCTTGCCTCTGGCTCACAAATTGTCCTCAGTTTCTCTTCCTCTCTCTCCACTTCTTCCCTCATCTCTCCCCATCTTCCCCTCCCTCCTCTGCACTTATGATCAACTTTCAGCAAATAACTTGTTGCCTCTCTGTTAAAATGACCCCTCCGCAGCCTTCCCCTACCTCCAGGCATGCACATATCCCTCTTCCCCTGCCTTTTGGTATATACATATCCATGTTCCTGCCTACACCTGGTACATACCTAACCCTATTCCACTTGTCTCCGGGCATGCACAGCTTTTCCTCTGTTTCTCATGTGGAGGGCTATTTTGTTCTTTGTCTCTGTTGGCCACAGCCCAGGCATATCAAAATGCCAGGCAAGGCAGCCCGAAGGCTTTACCACCCTTTGTCCTCCACGAAGTCCTACCAGGTCTGCCTATGAGTTCAGTGGAGTGGCCCTGCTTCCCCCTGCACAAGGCAAGGTGAGCAGGTGTGGCATCGGGGCAGAGGAGCCGGGTCCCACCTGCGTGGCCTTGCACAACTTCTTTAAACAATCTGTGCCTAATTTTTCTATTCTCTAAATGGAAATAATGACTCCTCAACAGCTCTGTCATGAGGATTAAAAAAGTCAACCACCGTCTAATGCGGTTCCACTGTTGGGACTTGGGAAATGTAAGCTCAGTCTCTTCAAGTTCATTCTCTTTCCAGAATATTGTCTCACACCCCAAAATCCTCTCTTGGCTCCTCATGGCTTTAACCCACCTGCACTAAGAAAGGCAGGTCAGACATAGACCAGTAGAACAGAATAGAGAACCAAGAAATAAATAGACATGTCTATAGTGCACTCATTTTCCACACAGTGGGCAAGAACATACACAGGGGAAAGGACAGTCTCTTCAATAAATGGTGCTGGGGAAACTGGATATCCATATGCAGAAGAATGAAACTAGACCACTATCTCTCACCGTATATAAAAATCAAATCAAAATGGGTTAAAGCCTTAAATCTAAGACTTGAAACTATGAAACTACTGAATGAAAACATTGGGTAAATGCTCCAGGACATTGGTCTGGGTAATGATTTTTGGAGTAATGCCCCCAGAGCACAGGCAACCAAAAGCAAAATTGGACAAGTGGGATCACATCAAGCTAAAAAGCTTCTGCATAGCAAAAGAAACAATAAATAAAGTGAAGAGATGACCCACAGAATGGGAGAAAATATTTGTAAACTACCCATCTGACAAGGGATAAAGAACTAGAATATATAAGGAGCTCCAAAAACTCAGCTGCAAAAAAAACAAATACTCTGATTTAAAAATGGGCAAAAGGTCTGAACAGACATTTGTCAAAAAAAGACATACGAATGGCCAACAGGTATATGAAAAAATGCTCAACATCATTAGTCATCAGAGAAATATAAAGCAAAACTATAATGAGATATCTCACCCCAGTCAAAATTGTTTTTATGAAAAAGGCAATAATGAATGCTGGCGAGGATGTGGAGAAAGCGGAACCCTCATACACTGTTGGTGGGAATGTAAATTAGTGCAACCACTATGGAGAACAGTCTGGAAGTTCCTCAAAAAACTACAAATAGAACTATCCAGCAATCCCACTGCTAGATGTATATCTAAAAGAAAGGAAATCAGTATATGGAAAAGACATCTGCACTCCCATGTTTATTGCAGCACTGTTCACAGTAGGCAACATTTGGAATAAACCTAAGTGTCCATCAATGGATGAAAAGATAAAAAACATGTGGTACACAATGAAATGTTATTTAGCCCTAAAAAGAATGAAATCCTGCCATTTGCAACAACACGGACGGAACTGGAGAACATCATGTTAAGTGAAATAAGCCAAGCACGGAAAGACAAATCTTGCATGTTCTCACTCATATATGGGAGCTAAATATTAAAACAATTGATCTCGTAGAGACAGAAAGCAGAACAATGGTTACCAGGGGCTGGGAAGGGTAGCAAGGAGCAGGACATAAAATGGGGATGGTTAATGGGTGAGAAAACGTAGACAGAATGAACGATATTTGATAGCACAACAAAGTGACTATAATCAACAATAAGTTATGGTATACTTTAAAATAACTAAAAGAGTGATATTGGAATGTTCATAACACAAAGAAATGATAAATGCTTGAGGTGATGGATATCCTGATTACTCAGATTTGATCATTACACACTATATGCCTGTGTCAAAACACATGTACCATATAAATATATGCAACTATTATGTACTCATAATAATTAAAAATTTAAAAAAATAAAAGAAAGTCAGGCCAGGGGCCTATGATCAGGTGCTGGCTGAAATAAACAGAAAGTTCTCCCAGCAGCCTTGCACTTTCCCAGGGAGACATTTCATTAGTGGGTGGGAGGGGTGGATGGAAAACCTTGGGCCCTGCTGCTAGAGGGCCTGCTAGAGAATTTGGTCATCTTTTAGCGCGGAGGTTTAGGTCGAATCTTTACGTGCAGAAAGTTCTGCAGTTCTCACAGCGACTTGCCAGAAAACGTCGTTCCCAAATGTTTTTAAATCTTCCATTCTGCAACCCACCTCACCCTCTGGTGTGCCCTTGCCGAGCAACTAAGTGCGCAGTATTAGCAGGAAGGGGCGTAGGCTGTGGGCGGGTGTAGGGTCACATTGCGCAGATGACTGGCTGTTGTAAGAGGGAGGAAAAGTAAACAGAAAGTGACCACCCTGGGGACACTGGCCGGGAGCCCGCTTGCTCTGGGCGTCGTGCCTCCCAGGGACGCCCAGAGTACCGGGGCCAATCTCTGCCTCGCTCCCTGGTCACCGCGCAGCCTCGGCGCCGCCTGCAGGCACGCCCTCCCTCTGTGCAATCGGCACCTCCTCAAGGCTCCCGGCGGGCGGGAGGAGCCAAAGTCGGCTCAGCCACTGGCCCTCTTTGCCCTTTCACCGCCAGAGTGACGGATTGCACCAGTCGCTGCCCGGTTTGTGCTAGGCCCGCGCCCGCCTCGCTCGGCCATGGGCAACGCCAGCTCCTCGGTGCTGGCCCGCCTGGGCCTCCCCGCGCAGCCCCGGCCAGGGTGGCTGGGGGTCGCCGCCCTGGGTCTGGCCACGGTGGCGCTGGTGGCCATCGCCAGGCACCGTGGGTGGCCCAGGCGGCGCCGGCGGCTGCAGCAGGTGGGCACCGTGGCGCAGCTCTGGATCTACCCGGTCAAGTCCTGCAAGGGGGTGCCGGTGAGCACGGCGGAGTGCACCGCCATGGGGCTGCGCAGCGGCCACCTGCGGGACAGGTACAGCTGAGCCAGGGCGCACATGACAACGGGAGGCCTGCCAGGGATGGGGAGGGATGAGGGAGGTGGGGCCTGCCCTATCTGGGGAAGGCTAATAGAGGTTTGCCACCTGAGTTTCCTGAGCTGACTGTTGGACTTCTGATCCATTCGCTGGGAAGGCCAAGTTCATGTCTTATTTATTTTTGGTAAAGTAAGTAAGGGCAATCCCCTACCCCTGTCTGGATGAGAGATTCTTCCTTTTAACAGGAGGGGGTCTAACCTGGTTATGGACAAGGCTCCTGCTAGCTCTAAAGTTTCAGATTCTTAGTATATAATACAATAGTAGGAAAATATTAATAACATGCTGTTGGCACCAGAGGGAGCAACAGAGAACCCACGTGAGGGGTGGGGAATCTTTTCCTGTTGGAAGGCTGCATTAATGTAGCTGTAATCAGATAGGGCCACGTTCAAGAAACTTCTATTAGATATACTTAAAATGTACATTATTTTGTAAAAATCTAACTACTATGTACTTAATAATCTCAAAAAATGAAAACTTTGTTAATTTTAAAGTTAACTAACCTTTTAATGACTTTGTTGTGTCTGCATTTTATTGGAAAGCCTTTGAATAGCTGGTTGCAGCATGGAGGTCCACAGTTTCAGCTGATCCTCTAGATGGGTGTTAGTCATTTGTGGTCTTGAGGGCATCTTGACTTGGGTGAGGCAGGAGAATGTAGATCGACAGCAGTAGTGGTTGAAAAGCAAGAAAGCATTTTTGGGGGGCGTCTTGCTGAAGGTTTGGGTATTCTGCATTTTTCCACATTTCAATTGGATCTTTCTTAGCATCAAACAATGACTTTAAAATGTTGTCTGCTAAGAGCACAATCAATTCTAACTGTAGTTTTTTAGGTGCCTTGGTGATACAACTAGGTGAGGCTAAAATGCTAATTTGAGCGTGATTCATGATTCTTGAAGTCAGTGAAACTTTCATTGTATTCTCCGATTAATAGGTCTGTAACAGCTGTGTATTCTTCAAATGATTTGCATATATTATCCTGCTCATCAATAAGCTTTGCTAACTGGAGGAAATGTTCATCCAAAATTTCCCTTTGAAAAAGTGTTTTGAAAGAAGATAGCTTTTTTAGAAATGTTTGGCTTTTTTTGCCATGTATCATATATAGACTTAGTTTTACCTTGCAAAGAAATGTTGAAGTCTTTTTGGTTTGACATGATATCACACAGAAATGCTGCATTCCTACAGAAATCTTTTTTCAATAATTCACATTGCTGATTCTGTTCTTCATAAAATTCAACTATCTGTTCTTGCAGAGATAAAATTGTGGCTAACACCTGTCCCTGCGGTAGCCAATGCACTTTAGAATGATAGGGCAAATCCACACTGAATACCTCACGGTTCAACTTCAGTACGTTACAAAACTGACCATGCCATTATGCATTTGCATAAATATAGTTAACAATACTTACAACTTGTTGCAAAGTGTCACTTAAAATAGTAGCTTTAGCACAGAGATTTTGCTGATGCAAGATACAATGAAAAGAAATGAGAGCATCTGGATCTGTTAATACTTTTTTTTTATCTGTGCAGTAAACCTTTCATGTTTTCCTGTCATGGAATGTGCACTGTCTATACATACACTTACTAAATTTACCAAATTGAGTCCAACTTCATGACATTTATCTCGAAAGTTGTTGAAGATATCTATTCCCCGTGTTCTGTTTGCAAGAACACCCAAAGCGAGTAACTCTTCGTAGCAAAGAAAATCTTCTGTTATGACCTAAATGAAGCATAAAACCTGTGCCGAGTCAGTAGTATCAGTTGAGTTATCCAAAATGATTGAATAATATATATTTTCCTTTTGAAGTATTGCATGAAGTTGTTCTGTTAAGTTGAAGGCTAATTCATGCTGCTGATCAGTTCTGGTTCTCCTTAAAAGAGGCAGTTGTTTGTACTTTGAAACGTTATTGGAGTCTAAGCATCCTACAACTTCGACAATGCGTTCTTTCACAATTTCTACTTCACTGAATGGCTTCCCTTTTTTCCTCAGTATATAAGCTACTTTATAAGTTGCCTCAGTGGCATTATTTCCAGGTCTTATTGCTGCTTGAAAGAATTGTCTTTGCTTTTTATTCAGTACTTAATATGCAGCAGACACTGACCTAAATCTTGTCCTGTTGTTTAGTTTATTTAAGCCTCATAACAGTCTTGTGGGCTAGATATTATTATCTCCATTTTGCAAATAAGGAAACTGTATCGGAACAGTTGAGTATCACACCCAAGATCACAAAACCAATGCGTGCTGGGGGGATTTGAACTCAGATCTGTGTGTGTCCAGCACTTAGGCCGTTTCTATGTTATGTATGATATAGAAGTATAAAGATTGCACCAGGGATTAGGAGACCTTGGGCGTAGTCTCTGCTTCTCAGTTTTTTCATTTGCAAAAATAAAAGGTTGAACTTGATGGTCTTTAAAACTCTGTCTTACCTAGCTTTTATTTATCAAAAGATAACTGAAAATGCGAAAGCAAGCTTGCTGGGAAAAACTCTGTTTAACAGCTGCTGTTCTCTCAATGTAAGAATACAGTAACATAGCGACAAGTATTCCTAGAATGCAGGGGAAGACCTTGTTTATATGATTCCATTCTGAACCTGTGTCTTTGGAACTGTTAGAAGCTTGGATTTTCCTCTGTAAGTGCTCTGTGCCCTCAAATTTCTAGGGTATTTTGTTCAGAGCTTAGTATGCTTGTGAACTCTTGGCTTGAGCACCCTCAGCCTGGAGGTGTTTGAGGTCTGCCCAGCAGAATGCTGGCACTGGCTGGCTGGAGTAGATGCCGGGTGGGCATGTCTGTCTTCCCTGACCTTGTAAACCCCTGCCCTCCTTAGCAGACTATATGACTTGATCATTTATATCTGTCTAAATCCCTTTGGAAGCCAGCCCTTTACTTCTTCTGCACAGACTGTTAACTCTTGGAGAGAGGACGCTCCTAAGTTTATTACTCAGTGTGTCATTCCCTGCGTGATTCCTGCTGTCTTTCTCTTTCCAGAGTTCCTGCTTTCCCTCACCTTCAGGCTGCTCCTAAGGCCAGTTTGCAAACTGGAAGTGAAATTTATCAGTTGTTTGGGGTCCACATCCTGTTGTTATTGGTAGTTCAGGCCATAGTAGCCTTTTTGGGGAATCAGAGCTCTGGGCTCCTACACCGATCCCAGTATCACATACTCATGCTTTACCTGTAACATCAAGGTTCTGGCATTTATTATCACACACTTAATCGGAGTAACTTGGTCATGACAAAATTCCCACTCCAGACTTAATCTTTCCTTTGGATCTGGCAGAATAGAGCTAATTATTCATTCACTGGGCATTACTTGTGTGCAAGAAATGAAAATTATTATTACCCAGGTTGACAGGGTAATAAAATGGTTGGAGTACGTTACAAATGGCAACCTTTTACCTTTGATCATTGTCCTGTTCCAATGTTGGACTCCCTGTAAATTGCCACTTGCCTTTTTAATTGCAGCAAGAAGCAGGAAACTTCTAGCTACCATTTCCTGCTGTTTACCCCAGCAGTAAGCTCCTATGTTATTATACAATGGGCTGGAGCTGAGAGTGGAGCCATGAGCCACAATGAAGGGTGAATGTTGTAAGGGATGAATGACAGACAAGAAGACAGCCCAGAGAAGGGCTGTCAGAAGTGGTGTGCAAACAGGGGTGTCACTCCTATTTGCACTTGAGTCTAACTGTGTGCACTTCTTAGAGGGAGTCTTATGTGGGGATGGGGCATGGTGGAAGTTAAGGGCACAAGCTTTGGTGAGGCTAACCAAAGAACTCCGCACCTAGGAACAAAGCAGGAATAGGGAACAGGGCCCAGCCCCAAGGGAATGAGGCTGTAATGAAATTGGCAGGAATCCCCTGATTTGCAGAACCCACCCTAAGGATGAGAGAATCAGAGAACCCTGGGATTCAGATGATGCAGGGAGTGTCCAAATGAAGGTAGGAAAGCCCCCTGAACTCACCAAGTGGGTTCTTGGCTTCTCACAGGAATGAATTTGAGAGTGAGCCAACTAGCTACAGGAAGATTTTATTGAGATGGAGACAGACAACAGATCCTACTCCAGAGACAGAGTAGGTGGCCTTTCCCAAACAGGAGGAGCACTACTTATGGGGCAATGGTAATATTTTTAAATGTTCAAAAACTCTGTTGGGAAACAGCTGTTCATGACCATCATTGTCTTGAGGTCAGGCCATAAAGGTTAATCATAAAGGGCACAGAAAGGTAAGCACAGACAGCTTGAAAGGCATCTAGCTTAGTAATTCATCCATCTTCAGGTGGTCCCAGGCTGGCGACTTGCTGGTGATTTCCTTGTTGGGGGGGGTGCGGTTAGGGTCTGGTATCAGCCAAAACGGCTGCACTTAGGCTCTCTCAGCCTTCTTTTTCTGCCTTATCCCTGCATTACGAAGACATCTAGAAAGAAAAAGGAGGCCTCCTCAGAGGGTTGGGGACTTGCTGTTGCCCATCAGTTCTTGGGAAGGGAGTGGCCAAGACAATTCCTAACATGCCTTTGCACTGCCACACCATCACACATGCCAGGTAGCAGGGCACAGGCTGCAAGCCATCGTCTGCTGGCGTGGTTGCAGGGAGGGGACAGTTGAGGCAGCACCTGGAAGGGACTGTGCTGATAGGGAGGTTCCAGATGCGAGACTCTCTGCCAGGGTTAGGAAAGGACAGAGACCGCGGTCTCTGAGCTCCGCTACTGGATGTCCTCAGAAGGTTACCCCAGACATTCCCAGTTGGCTCTAATCATATTTTGAAATGTCTTCCTGGGAGGAGCTGCCCCTCATTCCAGAAGGGGCTGTGCTTTTTATCCTGCTCACATTTGCAAAGCCTCTGGCTTTCAGGTGCTGCCCACTGATCAACACCCACAGAGCTCCTCACATTCTCCACTTGTCCACAGAGTCTATGTTCTTTCTAAAATAATGGCATTGAAATTTATTTTCCCTAGAAGTGCAACACTTTTTTTTTTTAGCAACCCAAACATTTGTGCGGTGCAACCCAAACTTATGTGAGGCTGTAGATTAAAGCCTAAGTGATGAGGCGCGGCCAGCTCCCCTCAACTGGTCAGCTCACAAGTGTGAAAACTGAGCCTAGCACAATGGGCTCTCTAGGAGATAAGTGGAGTTTTTATCTAACACATGACTTTCGTGACTCTTTGTTCTCTACATCAGCGTGTGTGCATGAAGAGGGAAGGCTGTCAGGAAATTTCACATGCCCCAGCAAGGTAAACAGAGTAGAAGCCAGCTGGGGTTCTCTTGGAGTCAGCAACATTGCAAGACCTTTGTCTAAGGATCTGGTTCTCTCAGGCCAGCAGTTTTGGACAACCACATCTTGTTCTACAACAAAAAAACCTGGAAGATATTTTGCTTCTCCCAGGACCTCAGAGACATATTTAACAGGCCTGGGGAAGCTTCTGACCAAAACAGAGTCCCCCACTGAGCAACATGGTTGGCTGAGCAGTGAGGGAAGGTCCCTAAACCAGCCTCATTTTCTGGTTTTTGAAACTGGAGATTTTCCTATATTGGCCAGAATCTCTCTCCCGGGACTGTTTCTGCTAAATTAGCTCTTTTGGGGGTCGTCAACTTTTAGATTTAAAGAATTTGGCCAGACCTGGATAATTGTCTAGAAAGTAATTATTGAGTCCAAACTTGGGGTGGGTAGAGGGTTTTGAGGAAATAAAAATCTAGAGGGAAGCTATTGAGAGATGGAAGAGAATTTTCTGAGTGTGCCCTTGTTTGTTCTCTGCAGGTTTTGGCTGGTGATTAAGGAAGGTGGAAACATGGTCACGGCCCGGCAGGAGCCGCGCCTCGTGCTGGTCTCCATCACCTATGAGAACAACTGCCTGATGCTGAGGGCTCCCGGGGTGGACCAGCTGGTTTTGCCCAGCAAGCTGCCTTCCTCAAACTCACTCCACGACTGCAGGTGTTCTGCTTGGGGGCATCCGGGAAACTGCAACAGACCTGATTCTAACAGGCTCCTCTCTGTGTTGTGTCTTGCCACAGTTTGCACAGTAGATGATGAAATTGGTAAAGGAAACATTTAAGGGAAGTATAGTTTGGACTGGGATCAGGATGGTGCTCAGGTGTGAATGGATGGTGCAGAGTATTGTTTTAAGTGGACCCAGGATTTGTTTTAATTGGATATGGGAAGACACAGAGACACAGAAATGACTGTCATGAAGAAATTGTTCATACTGACAGATCTCCAGAATTGGAGGCTTGGCACGCCACACAGGGCCACATGGGGAAGTGCCAAGGTTGATCAGGAGGCAGAGGAAACAAGGGGAAAGCGTGGGTGGTTTCCGCAGGAAAGGAAAAGCCAGGCAGGGGAGGCAGGCTTAGGCTCAGCTAGTGTGAATAATTTCAGTGGGCTCTGGGGCGCAGGGCTTATCCCTAGCTGTCTGGTACCTGGCTCTGGGGTGATTAGGGCAGGGGACTAGTGGCCCAGCATGTGAGCACTCAATAAAGGAGGTGGTTGGGGGTGCGGGCTCAGGATGGGATGGTGTCCATATGAAAGGCATGCTTGCAGACCATCAGTGTGCTATTTCTAGGAATTCACTGGCCCTGGGAGGGGCAGTCCTGTCAGTGTCAGCAAGGCCCCAAGATACCAAAGCAGCAAAAATACAGAAAATAAAAAGCATGACTAATACAAGTATAAAGGGGGCACAACGTGTCAATCTTTAGGGCTTGTCTCCTTTCATTCAGATCGGATGGACCTGTTTTCAGCATTGTCGGTACTCTAACCAGGCAGATCAGACTGGTAGTGGAGACTTTAGCAGCTGCGTCCCAGGGCTGGATGGTAAGGATGCTGGAGCTTTCAGTGTGACTCTGCAGCCTCTGTGGTCTGTGGTTGAGACTAAGGCACATTCGACAGGAGTTGGGTGGGACGGCCAGAGACACACCACAGACCTTGGCTTCCTTTCGGTCCATAGGACCCCTGCTCAGCTGCCAAGTTCCATGGCTTGCTGGGGTCTTGCACTTTGACATTAGGAAGTCCTAGGACTTAGGTGCTTATCATGGGATGATCTGGATCTCCTTGTAACCAACTGAACTTTTTGAGCATGTGGAAGTCAGTGTTGTGCAAAGGTCCAGGACTCAGAAGAGTGACTCATGTTATTCCCTGAGCCCTCATCTTATGCTTTTGCAAGCAAAGTGTCTGAGCTGAAATCCACCACTAACAGTACCCACTTTTCAAAAGTTTGAACAAATAATTCACTAAATACAATAATACTAAATATGAGGCAGATATCATTAATTCCACTTGACAAATGAGGAAACCAAGACTTAGGTCACTGTCATGCAAAGGTGGAGCTGGGATTTGAAGCTGCCCACCTCCTAGGTTTTTGCTTTTAACACCCATGTGCAGGGAGAAGAAAAGCTTCTCCGCAAATGACAGGTTCTGAGGACATAAATCCATTGAAGAGGAAAGCTGTGGACATCTCAATTTGATTGAAGGACAGTTGAAACTCGTGGGTAAATACTTAGTTGACCTGTGTCAAGGGAAGGGTATGGATATTGCTCTGCAAACTCGCTTTGTCACTGACAGTGAGTGAATTTTACCCTTGAGGATCCTCCCTTTGCTAAACAGGCAGAACTCTAGGTAGGCACAAACCTCCTTGAATGGAAAGAGGGAAAGAGGAGGGGCTTGTGGAGGAGTCTGACAAAGACTCCAAGTGAAGCCTGTTCTTGCATAATTCTGTTCCACACAGCAGTTGTATTTCTGGATGAGATAGAAATAGAGAGCCTGGAACCCTGGTAGTTTGGTGAAACCAACCGCTGGGAGCTGTGCACTTGTATTGATAAAGGGGCAATCAACACACTGCCTCTCCAGCTAGTTAGACACGCTGTAACTAGTTTAGCCTGTATTTACAAGCTATTTTTAATGGATTTGTTGCTATGGAAACTGCTAACAATGCACGGAAAAAATGATATAAAGTAGATGGTGTTTTAGTCAGCTCTGGCTGTTATAACATCGAGGGGCTGGTAGATTCAGTGCCTGGTGAGGGCCCTCTTCCTGGGTTGCAGATGGCCACTTCTCATTATGTCCTTACATGACCTTTCCTTGGTGCCTGCATGAAGGGAAAGAGAGAGAGAGAGAGCAAGCTCTAGTGTGTCTTCCTTTTCTTATAAGGGCACCAATCCCATCATGAGGGCTCCACTTCATCTAAACCTGGTCACCTCCCAAAGGCCCCAATAACATTGTGGGTTAACAAATGAATTTTGGGGAGACACAAACATTCAGCCCATACCAGATGGTAAGTGACAAACAGAGTGATCATTACGGCCGGCTCACCAGAACTGACAATAACAAAATAAACCAATAACCTCAAGTTGGAAAAAAGAAAAGGAAGTTCTTTTAACACAGCCATTTGGACAAGGCTGAAATGTCATAGATTTTATTTTATTTTATTCTGTTTTTTAACTTTCATTGCAAGTGTTTTGCCCGTTCACCCTGTGTAGTGTTAAGATTTTTTTAGAATAATTATAGAACAGTTTGGCTTCTTGATTATCACAGGATTTATGAGTGATTATTACCTAAAAAGGCCAAGCTTATATTTTAAAGTAGGATAACATTAAGAAGTGACTTCAACCCTGGACAGTCCAACAGAAGTTTGATTTCTTTAACTGCAATAATAGTTTCCTTTGTAAAAGAAGAATGTACAAGATAGGAAAAAGACAGTGTTTTTCCTACTGCCACGCCACTCACCTCTGGACCCAAAATGTGTGGATGTTTCTCCCCAACAACCAGTTCTCTAGTGGACGCCAGCTGGGTGTCCTACAATCCAATTCTGACACTCTCTGCCTGGAGGTAGCCTCAGATCCCACAGGTCGAGGGCTCAGTCCCACAAGACTGCCGCTTCAGATGCTAGTTGCAAGTCCCAGTTTGTGGCCTGTGCTTCTGACCAACTAGCTCTCAATTGGGAGTGCCCAAGACCCTCCCCAGGTTCAATTAATTTGCTAGAGTGGCTCACAAAACTCAGGGAAACACTTATTTACCATTACCAATTTACTATAAAGGATGAATAGTCAGATGGAAGAGGTGGATGGGGCAAGGTGCAGGGAAGGGGCATGTGTTACAGCCCAACCAGGTTCGTAGCCCGCTGTGAAAGAGGAAGCCAATACACTGAGACAGCAGGGGTTACAACAGAGAAAGAGTTTTATTTCGAAAGGCACCAGGCGAGGAGATGGGAGTAATTTCTCAAATCCATCTCCCTGAGAATTTGGGAGAAAGGGTTTTTAAAGATAATAAGGAAAGAATGCACACAAGATACAATGCTATGGTCAAGATTTATAGAAACAGCATGACCTGACCTACGTCACCAAAAGTTAACTGACCGAGAACAAAGAAGTTTTATAACTTCCTCAGACCCTCGCTGAGGCCCAGATGTCTGCAGTCCTCGGTTACCTCTTGCAAGCCCCCTCTTCTTCCCCGTTCCCGTAACATAAAAAGAGACTAAAGTTCATACTAACATAAGATGGTTCTTTAGGACATCAGTCTGCCATCTTCTCGGTCTGCTGGCTCTCCAGACAAAAACTGCTTTTGTCGCCCCAACACCTTGTCTCTCTACTTACTGGCTGTCCTGTGGCAAGTGGTACGAGCTTGGACTCAGTTACCGATGTACAAACAAACTGTAACCTCTCTTGGACCAATCACAGAGTTTCATCCAATCATAGGCCATATTCAGCCATAGCATTATAACTTGTGTACATTCTTTCCTTATCTCCCTGGGAGTTATTTTTGGGAAAGGGATGGTTACTTTCTTCTAGAGTTGAGCTACAAACTAAATTCTTCCTATAATTATTTGGCCTATGTGCAGAGCTAAGTAGAAGCTTTTAACCTAAAGGATATTACTGCAGGAGGTCAGAAGCAAAATGGAGATAGTTATGCTAAGCCTCCCTTCCCCTGTTACACATCTAGTTACATTATGTTACAGTTCAGTATGGAAAAACCTTTAGGCTGAACTTAAAGTATATAAGGAGGCAGCTTTAGGCTAAACTTAATCTAACAATTGTATTTCTAAGATTCATCTATTCGTTGCTTGTATCTAGTACCTATATAGCTATAATTCACTTTTTGTTTTGTTTTGTTTGAGACAGGCTCTCACTTTGTCACCCAGGCTAGAGTACTGTGGCATCATCATAGCTCACTGCAACCTCAAACTCCTGGGCTCAAGCGATCCTCCTGCCTCAGCCTCCCAAGTAGCTGGGACTACAGGCATGAGCCACCACGCCTGGCTAATTTTTCTATTTTTTGTAGAGATGGGTTCTTGCTCCTGCTCAGGCCGGTCTCGAACTACTAGCCTCAAGCAATCCTCCTGCTTCAGCCTGTCAAAGTGCTAGCATTATAGGCATGAGCCACCCCACCCGGCCTGTAGTTCACTTTTTCACTGCTGTACAATTTCCATTGTGTGAACTTGGTGCAATTTACTTATTCATTCTCTCGTCCATGATGATATTGTTACCAAAAGTTCAACACTTGTCCCTGAGGCTGCATCAGAAGAGTCAGGACAAGTGGTTTGAGGAAAAGGTAAGGGTGGTTTCTTAATTTACCAGCAAACAAGTAGGATTGAGACGCTCATCTTAAAGTGCTATCATCCTCCCTGTATGCAGAAATACAGAACTTTTAAAGGAAGGGTTTTCAGCTTCAGGCTGTTGCTGGTTAACTAGAGATGATGGTTCTGAGCCATCCCATCTCCAGCGAAGACAATCTGGTGACCACTGCCCGGACACTTCTGTTGAGCCATCTCCTATGGGGTCCAAAAAACAAAGGACACTTCCCTACCCCTCTGATTACTGGCCTTGGGCGGGATGCGGGTTTTAATTCCTAAAAGAATGTGGGGATTTTAAAGAGGCAACTTATAAAACCTTTTGCTCTTTTTCAGGCTTTACCTCTGTTACAATGTAAATTGCTCAAAGTTTTTTTCTAATATGAACAATGGCCTATGATCATTCTTGTGTATATCTTCTGGGAGCACATGTGCAAGAATTTCTTTAAGGCATGAATTTAGAAGTAGAAATACTGAATCAGTGAGTATGTACATGTTAACTTTTATAAGAAAATGCCAAATTGTTTCCCAAAATTATTGTACCAATTTATACTTTATCAGAGTAAGAGTCTGTTGTCTCATGTCCTCATTAATGAGGTTTTGTTAGTAGTCCTTATCATCTAGTTTTCTTACACTTGTAAACGAAGAATATAACCCTAAGACCTCCTGCTAACAGTAGGGACCCCCTCTTGGCCAAAGGGACCTCAGAAAAACCTTAAAACTGAGTTCTTAGCCATTCAGGGAAGGGAGATAAAACATACCTTTTTTTTCCCCCCACCCCCAAGACATACCTTTTTATACCTCCTCCCTTTTGGAGTTTAGATACAATGGTTGACCATCATTAATGTCTGTTAAAACAGAGATCATAAGACTGATCTTTATGACAGTAAGATACTAAATTATCAACAGGACCTAAGGCCATGCAAGGCAAAGGTTAAATCACACATGCAGGCCATCGATTTTCTTAACAGATCCCTTGAGTCTCTATGTTGTGGCTTATCTCTAATTAACAGACTTCCTTAACTAATTTAAAACAGTCCAACTTGAGTTCAGGAGGTCGAGACCAGCCTGAGCAAGATTGAGACCCATCTCTACTAAACATAGAAAAAATTAGCCAGGTGTGGTGGCTCTCTCTTGTAGTCCCAGCTACTTGGGAGGCTGAGGCAGGAGGATCACTTGAATCCAGGAGTTTGAGGTTGCAGTGAGCTATGATAGCACCACTATACTCTAGCCAGGGAGATAGAGTGAGACCCTGTCTCAAGCAAAACAAAACAAAACACAGCACAAAACATTCCAAGCCTTTAGACAGAGCTTTATTTCTTTAACTAATTACAAATCAAAGAATCTTTGAACTCACCGGTAACCTGTAAGCCCCCCAACCCTTACTTTGAACTGTCCCACCTTTTTGGGTGAACCAATGTACACCTTCCATGTATTGTTTCATTATTTTACCTGTAATTCCTGTCTGTATGAATATATAAAACTGAACTGCAACCCTACCTCTTCGGGTGCATTTTCTCAGGACCTTTTGAGACTATGCTCCCCAGGCCGTGATCACACATATATATTCAGCTCAGAAGAAATCTCTTTACATACATTATTTTACAAACTTTGGGATTTTTCCATTAGCACATTTTTTTTATTTTTTTTGAGACAGAGTCTCACTCTTTTGCCTGGGCTAGAGTGAGTGCCGTGGCGTCATCCTAGCTCACAGTAACCTCAAACTCCTGGGCTCAAGCGATCCTCCTGCCTCAGCCTCCCGAGTAGCTGGGACTACAGGCATGC